AACAATATATATATAGTCTGTATACTTTGTTTCATTATTAAACAATATATATAGTCTGTATACTTTGTTTCATTATTAAACAATATATATAGTCTGTATACTTTGTTTCATTATTAAACAATATATATATAGTCTGTATACTTTGTTTCATTATCAAACAATATATATATATAGTATGTATACTTTGTGTTCTGAATGTTGCAGTTTAAAATAACATGGTATAATTAGTTATGTAGTGATTAAGTCATCTTTATATTGTACTACATTTTTTAGTTTTCCTTTTGCCGTTTCATCCTTTTACAGTTTTCCTTCATTGTGTTTTATTTTAACTTTTAGTGGCTCCATACATTGATCGTACAAATCTTAAGAATATTGTGATACGTTCTGGTCAGACAGTGAGGTTTGATGTGGATGTTAAGGGTGAACCTCCACCGACCATTGCCTGGCTACATAGTGAACAACCAATCCAGCCATCGGACCATTTAAAAATAGAGACAGAAGATTACCACACTTTGTTTGTTCTTTCTAAAGCTAAAAGAAAAGATACTGGAAAATATACAATCACAGCAAATAATGATTCAGGAAAGGATGAAGTAACTGTGGAAGTCACAGTATTGAGTAAGTAATATTAAAGTATTATTATGAATATTAAATCTGAAAAATGTTTTAGAATATTGTGAAGTACAAAGTAAAAACATAAACTGGTGACTTTGGTTTTCATATCATAAGTGGAATACAAAGTATAAAACATGTACAACATCCTGATAATCAAGTTTTTCTGGTAAAATTTATTTTCAACATAAAATGTCTTTATTTTCACCAGAATAGTTAAGCTTTTATATCCTATAAAAATGTAATACAAGTATTAAAGAGTAAACCAGTACATTGAAACTTCAAGTAATAAAAATATTTCAAGTGTTTTTAATATACAATGTATTTGTATGTTACACATAAATAAAGAACATACAGTGTATGATAAAGGCAGAGATTTTCAATGATTGTTATATACACATTCAAAAGTTTTGGATTATTGTAAATCTTTGGACTCCAGGTAAACCTAGTAAGCCAAAGGGACCACTTGAAGTATCTGATGTACATGCTGAAGGTTGTAAACTGAAATGGGAGAAACCTGAAGATGATGGTGGAGAGCCAATTCAGCAGTATGCTATTGAGAAGATGGACACAGAAACTGGACGTTGGGTGCCTGTTATGACAACAAAAGAACCAGAAGCAGAGATTACTGGTTTAGTACCTGGGAAAGAATACAAGTTTAGGGTAAAAGCTGTGAATCCTGAAGGAGAATCTGAACCTCTAGAGACGGAAAAAGCAACTCTAGCAAAAAATCCATTTGGTTTGTTCAATTATGTTTATATGTAATAATTATTCATATATATTGATGCAATCAACTGATAACTCATTGAAATTAATTCTAAATATCTGAAAAGAAAATTGAGAATGAAAACAAATGACATTTATAACTATATATATATATATATATATATATATATTTATAAATCAATAGTTCTAAAGCTATCATATACACTAATTGTAAATGGGTGATTTTTTAATCAGCACTATAAAACAATAAAGATGAAATTAATATTAATTAGAAGTATTACACAGAGACTCAAAAATTTAAATTAAAATCAGTTAAAGGTTAGAAGTTGAGAGCATGAACCCACGACAACTCAACTTCTCCTGCCTTTCGCTGTCTGCAGCCAGTTGTGGGAAGGCAGTTACCCTTAATAATTAGATACAAGTTTAAAGTAGAAATAAACCACTGTAAGTTTCTACAGTGTAAAACTCTCAACTTCCACCCATTTTATGAGATGTACAAAAAGACAAAAACATTCTCATAGTAGGAATAGATCACTCTATATTTCTAGAAGATTCCAAACCTCTACCCTTTTATTTAATAATTACAAAATTATGTTAAACAGAACTAAAACCTTTAGTTTAATAGTTCTTAACTCCCCATCCTCCTCCCTTGTAGAAATTTTGGGTGGTTTATTTCTATTTCAAGGTTGTATCTAAATATTAAAAGTAACTGCCTTCCCACAACTGGCTGCAGACAGCAAAAGGCAGTAGGAGTTGATACGTTCAAGCACTCAACTCCTAACCCTTAACCGATTTTTCTCAGTTGCTGCTACTTTGCCATTACTGTCTGGATCTTGTGGTAGATGAAATATTTCTGACACGTTTGGATACTATGGCCACAGACTTTTAATGATGACAACATGGACTGGTAATGGAAAAATTAATTTTGACTCTCTTGAGTTGCTTTGTAATATTTTTGATTTATGTATATATGAAGCTTAAACTTTTTCACCTTCAGTTAATAGCTATGCAATATAAAATTGTGAGAATCGTGTTTACAATTAGAATTATGTGACACAGATACTTAAGTAAATACATATTATATATGTATATCAAACAAAGAGATTATTACTAACTTGTTTGTCCATAAAATTTAGATGAGCCAGGAAAACCAGGAAAGCCTTCTGCTAAAAACTGGGACAAACATTTTGTGGATTTGACTTGGGAGCCTCCCAAAAATGATGGTGGTGCTCCTATCACTAGTTATATTATAGAAAAGAAGGATAAATACAGTACTAAGTGGCAGAAGGTATCAGAAATCATTGGAGAAAAATGTGAAGCTCGTGCACCTGATCTTATTGAAAACATGGAGTATCAGTTCAGGGTTCGAGCTGTTAATAAAGCTGGACCTGGTAACCCTAGTGATCCATCAGATTTTGTTACTGCAAAGCCTCGATTTTGTAAGTTCAATTATTATGTATTTAATTGGATTAAACTCATAAAAAGTTTTGTATTGTTATTTATTTATTGTGATTTTACTTATATGTCTTGATTCCTCCTATTTTAATGACATAATTGATTCAGAAATTTTTCATTTTTTGACATTAATAGACGTTTTGCTTTTCAAATTTCATTTGTTTGAGAGTTGGAATTGTTGTTTGTGAAGAATATCTCAGTTCTCTGTTAGTTTAGCTTATGTGTGAAGTGATTGGTTAGTAATATTTTACTTAGGTACTAGATACCTCAACTCACTTAGCTTGCCAATTCACTGTTTTCTTTAATAATAAATAATGTCGTTTCTAAATTACATTTATTAATTCTTTCTTTACAAAACCTCTCTGAATACAATATTTTTATTGGCTGTTTTTTTTTTTTCAAGCCTAATACTGATTGCTTTTATTGAAGGAATTCATGAAAGTGTCATGTATAATTTTGCACATGTGAATATGCACTTATAACACTTATGTTTCCTTGATTCTGTGAAGAAAATGGTAAACTGTTAACATGTACATACAGTTCTGGCAGTGATCCAAACGTAGTTGTGTTGGTGTGAAAAAATGCTTTGTACTAAAAGAAATAAAATAACCTATAACACTTATAATATCAGCTTGTTCCTATGAAGAAAATAGAAAACTGTTAACATGCACATACAGTTCTGGCAGTGATCCAGACGTAGTTGTTTTGGTGTGAAAAAATGCTATGTACTAAAACAAATAAAATAACCTATAACACTTATAATATCAGCTTGTTTCTATGAAGAAAATAGAAAACTGTTAACATGCACATACAGTTCTGGCAGTGATCCAGACGTAGTTGTTTTGGTGTGAAAAAATGCTATGTACTAAAACAAATAAAATAACCTATAACACTTATAATATCAGCTTGTTTCTATGAAGAAAACAGAAAAATGAAAAACTGTTAACACATACATAGAGTTTTGGTGATGATCCAACTGTTGTTTTGTTGGCAAGAGAGTGAAAATATACTAAACATTTGAAATTTAAAAGTACTGTGTATTAAAAAATATGAAACAACCTATAAAACTTATAATGTTTCCTTGCTTCTACAAAAAAATAAAAAAACTGTTAACATGTACATATAATTATGTTGATCATCCTATTGTTGTGTTGGTATGAGTGGAACAATGGCAAAAGTTTGAAATTTAGCAGTGACGTTGATTGGTTGGCTTTGTTTTGGCCACATGGACAACAATGAGGCTTCACTTTAGCTAAAGTGTGTTATCTACAATAATAAAAGTTTAGATAAAATTATAGATATTTTATTCATTTAGTTTCTTTCCACATATAAAAAGCTGCTATTTAATCATAACTTTATTTGTTTCAACATGAAATCTTTTAGTTTCTTAGAATTTTGGTTAATTTGAAAATATTCTTTATTTATTCCGCCATGTTTCAATTTTTCTTAAGTTGATGGTTGTAGTATTTTCACAAATGTATGAATACATGATTTTGAAGTAGCATTAGGATGTAAAAATTGTTATTTAAAGTTAAATGTGTGTGTGTGATGATAACTTTGAGCAGCAGTTTGTTTTGTTGTTATTCTTAATGATTGTTATTTTGTTGATTTCTAAATTTCATTCTAATTTGTTAAAGCCCAGAACTTTTTTTATCTGGATATAAGCTACAAACCACTCAAACTCATGTGAATTTAGTTTTTTAATATATTAAAACTAATAGCATTTTTTTCCATTTCTTTAGTGGCTCCTAAAATTGAAAAAATGCGAGATGTTAAGATTCATGCTGGACAGACAGTTAAGTTCAATGTCAAGGTTATTGGGGAACCATTGCCTAAAAAGACTTGGTGTTTTGGTGAGACCATATTGAAGTCAGATGGCAACATTACAATTGACACTGATTCAGAGAAAGCCTTCTTGACTATCAGTAATGCTCAGCGCAAAGATTCAGGATGCTATAGCTTGAAAGCTGAAAATTCTTCAGGAAAAGATGAGGCCACTGCTGAAGTAACAGTTATAGGTGGGACAATCCCTTTTGTTGCAGTGAGAGAATTGGATTTTCAATAAATATTTTATATAAACTCTCAACTTAAGTAAAGTATTTAACACGATAAAAATATTCATGCTGTTCAAGCATTTTATGGATATGTTTCCTATATCAGTTTTTATCCTGGTAATAATTGTTGTGGTGGAATGTAATTTGCATAGCAAGTGGAATAATGATACCATACAATGCATGTGATGGAATAAATAATGAAATGTTTTAGTGATTCTGTACATCAAATTCTGAGTTAGGATTGTAAATACCTAAATTGATTCTAAAAACCTAACTTATGTACATTAAAGGCATATTATAGGTGAAATTAGTACTAGAAGAACAGAAGTTATTGAATAGACCATTGAAGTGTGTTTGAAAGCTATTTCAATGTTATAGATAAACCATCAACTCCAGAAGGTCCTTTGGAAATATCTGATGTCCATGCAGAAGGTTGTAAGCTGAAGTGGAAACCACCAAAAGATGATGGTGGAGAACCATTAGATCATTATGTGGTAGAGAAAATGGACACTGAATCTGGACGTTGGTTACCAGTTGGTCGTACTAGTAAACCAGAAATGGAAGTTAGTAACTTAACACCAGGTGTGTCTAATGATTCCAGTATTCTTTAAGAAGAGGGTGTGTTTGTTCATATGTTTTATTTTTTTGTTATACTTTACGCTGTATAAAAAATAATTTTATATTTCCATTAAAGTAACAGCTTATTAATGAATTATCAGACACAGAGTAGATTTGAAACATTTCAATGATCTGTAACTTCTTGTTGCATGAAAAGTTAGAGAGCTTTTGATTGAGGTGTTTAAGATTGTTAAAGGAATCAATAGTGTTGATGCATCATCTTTTTTTATATTTAATAATAATAATGGTAAGACTAGTGGACACAAATATACATTTGCCGTCTTCAGCTAAGATCTTTATTCTTCTAACAAGATGGTTGGCTTCTGGAACAGGTTGCCTTCAGATATAAGGGAGTTTAATGGAAAGCTTGATGAACATTTAAATGATAAGGGCTGAGTTTTGGTTTTTTGTAAGGGTTTAACTTAATTTAGTGGATAGGATAGCCTAGGTGGACCAAAAGATCCCTTGCTGTCCTTTAATGTTAAGTTATTAGAAGGGGATGATGTTTTGGCTTGATGTTTTGGTTTAACTTAATTTAGTGGATAGGATAGCCTAGGTGGACCAAAAGATCCCTTGCTGTCCTTTAATGTTAAGTTATTAGAAGGGGATGATGTTTTGGTTTAACTTAATTTAGTGGATAGGATAGCCTAGGTGGACCAAAAGATCCCTTGCTGTCCTTTAATGTTAAGTTATTAGAAGGGGGTGTAGTTGAAACCTGTTTTTTTTTTAAAACTAATTGTAATTTTTTTTTCGAATACATAGTTGTGTGTGCTGTTTGCTTTACAACTTTATTTTTGTACTGCATATGCTGAGATTCTGCTAAATTGTTTTGTATTTGAAAAGTAAATTTTACTTCAAGTGTTCAAGTAAGAGTTTTTGAATTATTATTAATGTCTAGTGACAAGTACATGAAATTATTTCAGTGTTTTCTTGTATTATTTACTTGAACTACTTTACACATACGTAAAATATTTGCTTCAAAACCTCTATTAACAATTTGCTGTACAACGTTTTTCTTGTAATTAAATCCAGTACTTTGTCCTTAGGACAAGAATATAAATTCAGAGTCAGAGCTGTTAACCCTGAAGGAGAATCTGAACCTCTGATGGCAGCAAAATCAATTATTGCTAAAGATCCATATGGTTTGTTGGGCAACTTGCTTCACTTTTCTTATCTATTTTTATTTTATTTTAATTTAGTTTTAATGTGTATTTAAAAATTTATTATTTTGAATAAACTGAACAGTTGCTTGTAATTTCTTTAAGGTATTATTGAACTTCAACATTTAAAGATACTTTGTTAATTTTTATTTGTGTGTTGCTTAAAGAGTCTGTGTTCAGGTTTAAGCAGCATTAATTAGGTTATTGCTACTTGATGCAATTAGCTAATCTATGGTCATTACACTCCAAATTTAGTTGATGTCATTTTTAGGAATATAATATTTTTTGCATTAGAAAACTACAATAAGATTTTCTAAGTATTCCAGATACTGTAACTGATTACATATTACTTTGAATAAGATCAAACTTGCATGTGGAAATATCAATGTAAGGAAAAGCTAACTTACAAGTTATAAATGTGTGAACAGAACAACTTGTAAAAATTGTATTTTAATTTTTAATGAACAATTTTGTTATAAAATTTCTGTTTATATTTTTAAATCATTACAGTCACAACCATAAACTGGTTTGGAGGAATATAGCAATGATTATATTTGTAAATCTGTAGAATCTTTGTACGTGATAACTAGAGTTCTAAACAGCATGTTTTAATCAAACTTCACTGGTAATTTCCTGTGGGGGTGGGGAAGAATGCTGATGCTTTTTGGGGTAAAAGGTCAAAATCATCATTTCAGAAAATAAAACTATGATTTCCGTGCATAGGAAAATATAACCACAAAACACAAAAAACTGTATTTATCAACAAAACAAAATATGAGTAACAGTTAGTGGGATCAAACACACACACACACACAAATTGTATTTATCAATACACAGGGGGATAAAACACACACAGAACAAACTATTTACAACAAAACAAAATAAGAGTAATGGCTAGGGGGATCAAACACACACACGAAAAATTGTATTTGTCACCAAAACAAAATAAGAGTAACAGTTAGGGAGATCAAAAACACGCACAAAATACTGTATTTATCAACAAAACAAAATAAGAGTAATGGCTATAGGGATCAGCCAATTTATTGGTGGCTATAATTTTAATTATTAATTCATATTTTAGGCTTCCACTGATATGAAGTTGTTGTTTATAATTATGTTATATTATGAAATTTCTGTGTGCTGTCAAATATATGTATTTGAAGACAGTAGTAATTTAGTGTGGTGCAAAAGAAACAGTAGTTATACAGCATTAATGATGATTGATATGAGTATCCTGCTATATCATTATGGGATAAATATATCAATAGTATAAATTCGTACTGGAAAAAGGCCAAGTTATTTGTATTGATACATAATTCAGGCATTTTTATTTAAAACTTAACTGATATTTTTGGAAATTAATTGTGACCACTGACTGAGTTTAGTTGGCAACTTATCAAATTTGAGGTAGTGAATAATATAATGGTCATTGTAATGTGCATTTCTTGTAGACCTAATAAAAGTGATTAAAGTTGTACTTGACAGCACATGTTTGTTTTAGCACTCTTCTTAATCTCACTGAAAGGGGCCAAAAGCCACCTGGAGGAATCACCTGTTTTAAGCAGTCACACCACTATGCAGTAGTATGTTGTCTGTCAGTCAGTCAGTAGACACTAAAATGACACCACATAAGAAATGTTTAACATTGTAGTTTGTACTATTGTGATATCAGTAAAATGTGTGTGTGCCATGAATCACGAGAAGAATTATGCACTCTGTAGGCTACAACACAGCATGACATATGAACTCCAAAACCAAGAAATAAAAATATTTGTTACTCCTAATTTTAGTTTTATTTACTCTTGAAACAGAACACTTTCAGGTTCCCTGTGGGAGTACCTCAATTTAGTTAGAAATTCAGCTCAATTTTTCATGTTTGTTACAACTCACAGCTAGGCCTTTTGTTTAACACCAGAACTCATCAGTTGGGTTGAACCTGTGGGAGTCTAAAGTAAATATTAAACTCTAGTTCTATGCAGTGCAAAACCTAACATAATGGAATGTAAAGAAAAAATATCTTTATTCAATCATGAGTTTAATCACTTGTGTTAGGTTGATAAAACCTTATTACTTCTCCAACCTTAGGAATTCTACATCAATGTATTTCTTTTAGAATACTGACTGCTAATCAGTAGTAATCTATGTCAGTTACCATTGTATCAATAAGCAGTTTATATTTTTTTATCTATTTTGAGGACTAAATGTATCTTTAAAATGTTTCATAACAGTCTTTTTATTTATTTAACAAAGACCCACCAGGTCAACCCGGAACACCTGAAGTTAAGGATTGGGATAAAGATCATGTGGATCTGAAGTGGACTCCACCAGTCAAAGATGGTGGTGCACCAATTAAAGGTTATGTCATTGAAAGGAAAGAGAAATTTGATACTCGCTGGATAAAAGCAGCAACAATTGATGGCAATGTTTGTGAGGGTCGTGTCCCAGATCTGATAACTGGTGATACTTACCAGTTCCGAGTTCGGGCTGTTAATGCTGCAGGGCCTGGTGAGCCAAGTGAAGCCACAAAACCAGTTGTTGCCAAGCCTAGAAAATGTAAGATATTGTTATTTCCATCAGCTTAAAATTAGTATGTTAATAATGTTTTTATGGACAGTGTTTAAAATCCAATAAAACAATTAGACAATTCTTATTATTGCATCATTACTAAAAAGTAGATTCAGTAAAGAAAGAAAGAAAAAAAAAACAATTTAAAACACAAAATAGACTAAAGCAGTTTCAGAAATGATTATTTTGACATATTCCAATGTGAATCACAATCATCTCCACTTATTTTGATTTGCCAGTAATGATCTTGCTAATGGGTAAAGCTGCTTTTATTCAGAATAGGTCACACACAAATGATAAAAGAGTAGCCCAAGAGTTGGTGGTGGGTGGAGATGACTAGCTTCCTTCCCTCTAGTCTTTCACTGCTAACTTAGGGACAGCTTGTGCAGATAGCTCTCATGCAGTTTTGTGCAAAATTCCAAATAAACCACATGACCTCCCCACCTCTGACAATGTATAAAGCCAGTGCTCACATGCCTACTCAGTTATATTAGATGTTTTTATTATATGTATGTGGTAGTATTAATTTTTATTAAATACCTATCTTATGTTAAATTTTTGCTGATATATTTTTAATGTTTGACAAGTCAATCAGTTATAAATGTTTTATGTATGGTTATCATTATTCTGTTTTGTAGTTGATATTTTAGTTTGTAGTTTCTTTATGTTTGACTTTACATCATAAAACAATTAATCTTTTATTTTATATTAGTAGCTTAGTCTGCTACTTCTAACACAGTGAATACCCAAACTTTTGAATAGATATTTCATGTATAATGAACAAAAAGTGTGTGAAATTAGCTGTGGTGTACCGAGACTCTCTTTTTGAAGAAGTGTTGTATTAAACAGATTTCCCTTTCTTATACCCATTCGTTGTGGTTGGGAAATATATGTCTCAGCTTCAGTGAAAGGGTTAACATTTATGATATTGTTTAACCATAGGAAGAAGTAAATTCATTTATAAAACTTTTACCTCTCTCTCTCTAGTGCCTCCTAGAATTGAACGTCGTTCTTTGAGACCAATCACTGTTAAGGCTGGCCAGCCCTTTGACTTTGATGTGAAGATTATTGGAGAACCTCCCCCAACTGTAACTTGGAAACTAAAGGACAAGCCTGTGACAGAAGGACCAAATATGACAATTACAAATGTCCCATATAACAGTAAGCTGGTCTGTGACAAATCCCTAAGGAAGGACTCTGGAATCTATCATATAATAGCAGTTAACCAGTATGGCCAAGATGAAGCTGAAGTGGAAGTAACAGTATTGGGTATGCAAAGTTTTACACTAATGTAGTATTGTGTGAAGGACTTTAAGATCTTCTGTTTTCTGTAATGTTACATAACCTATATTATACACTCATATAACTGACTGTGAAATCTATTATCAAGTGAAAATGAAATTTTGTGAATTTTTCAAAAGAATTTTAACATATATATATATATATATATATTTATGTATGGGTGGGGTGGGTCGGTGTGTGTGTGTTATGGATTAAAAGCTCTGTATGAAATTATTGTTTTACTTATACACTGAACAGATGTAAATTGAAATTGTTTTGATTCATCATTATTCTAAAAAACGTATTCAAAACTAAATTGATAATAATTGACAACTATATGACTTCATGAGGTTATTTAATTGATTAAATTTTTTAGCTAAACCAAGTAAGCCAGAAGGGCCCTTGGAAGTCAGTGACATTCACAAGAATGGATGTAAATTAAAATGGAACAAGCCGAAAGATGATGGAGGTGAACCCATCGATCACTATTTGATAGAAAAGCTTGACCCAGAAACTGGGTCCTGGGTACCTGTGGGTAAGAGCCATGTTCCTGAGATGGAAGTGACAGGGCTAACACCAGGAAAACCTCACCAGTTTCGAGTAAAAGCTGTCAACAAGGAGGGAGTATCAGAACCATTGGAGACAATCTCTCCTATTGTTCCCAAAGATCCTTATAGTGAGTTGGAAAAATACCCATTATATTCATAATTAGATTAGAGTATACCATAAAAATGCTTTTTTTTATCAGAGATTACAGAAACTGAATAGATGAGGTTTTGTTTTGTGAGTGGAATTAAGTATTAAATTGCAATTTAAAAGAAAATCTTGGAAGTATGAGAGTTGCCCACATAATTGAAAAAGCTTCAAGTCAACAGTATTAAAGAATTGTAAAATTTGATCAATAAATGCACAGCATAAAGTTCCTAAATAATTAAATCATCCATCTATGCTGTAATGGCTGTAAGTTGGTTTCTGATCAATAAATGCACAGCATAAAGTTCCTAAATAATTAAATCATCCATCTATGCTGTAATGGCTGTAAGTTGGTTTCCATAATAATTTAAAAAAAATTATTTTCTTATTGATCAAGATGTCTTAATTTAAACAATAAACCATAAATGTGATGAAATGAGTAAAGTTTGTTCTTACATCAGATTGGTGTTTTAAGTTTTTGAATGATTGGCTGAAATTAGAGTTTTAGAAAGTGTAAGTGAGTAGTTTCAGGATGAGTAGTTTCACATATGTAAGTAGTTTCATGATGAGTAGTTTCATGTTTATGAGTAGTTTAGTAGTTTCACATTTATGAGTAGTTTCATGTATGTGAGTAGTTTCATGATGAGTAGTTTCACGTTTATGAGTAGTTTCATGTATGTGTGTAGTTTCATGTTTATGAGTAGTTTCTTGTATATGAGTTGTTTCATGATGAGTAGTTTCATGTATGTGAGTAGTTTCATGATGAGTAGTTTCACGTTTATGAGTAGTTTCATGATGAGTAGTTTCATGTATGTGAGTAGTTTCATGATGAGTAGTTTCACGTTTATGAGTAGTTTCATGTATGTGAGTAGTTTCATGTATGTGAGTAGTTTCATGTTTATGAATAGTTTCTTGTGTGTGAGTAGTTTCACGTTTATGAGTAGTTTCATGTAAGTGAGTAGTTTCACATTTATGAGTAGTTTCATGTTTGTGAGTAGTTCCATGTGTGTGAGTAGTTTCATGATATTCTTATTTGTATATTCTTTGATAACTTGTATTTGGCAGAAGATTGTTTATATATATCACTATACCATTCCCTTCTGAAATATTCATTGAGACTATCCAACTGATATAACTCCACGGCAGTTTTGTATAGTATATTCATTAATGTGACTTAATTTGTTTTATATTAATCTATAAAACTGAAACTAGTGAGAAATCTGAAAAAAAATCTTAAAAACACTTTCTGGAATGAAAGAAGAGAACATTTCTTTGTAAGCATACAGTTCCCACCAAACAATAAAACATTCTATCAAAATTGATATAAAGCTCTGTTCATGACATTCCTTACCAGTGAAACTAATGCACATACAGTTCACATTTGATAGCTTTGAATCGATATGGTAATGTTATATTATGAATAAGACAGTAGAGCCCTGGTCACCTTCATTCTCTGAAATATATTTTATTATGAGTAATATTACAATTACTTTTTTGTATTTTGTGCATAAATTTACGTGTAGTGACTGTGCTTGACCTTAAGAAGTTTGATTGCAAAGTGGAAATATAATTACATTTAATAGTGGACATTTCTGTGGACTTTGGATATCAGAAGAAATCATAGTATTGGAACCTATCAGAGTCCAGAGTAAATGTTAATTCTGTATTATGAAAATCAGAAAAAAAGACTGATTTTTTAAACTGTTAATAACACCAGATCCTCCTGGAGAACCAGGGTGTCCTGAAGCAACAGATTGGAACAAAGACCATGTTGATCTGAAGTGGAAGCCTCCGGATAAGGATGGTGGTGCTCCCATTTCTCGTTATATCATTGAAAAGAAAAAGAAAGGCAGCCCTACATGGGAGAAAGCTGCTGAAGTACCAGGAGATCAATGTAAAGGAACTGCTCCTTTCCTGGAAGAAGGAAAAGAGTACGAGTTCCGTGTGATTGCAGTTAATAAGGCTGGACCTGGAGAGCCTAGTAAAGCTTCAAAACCAGTTATTGCAAAACCTCGCTTGTGTAAGTTTTTTCTTAGATTATGCTAATATAAGATGATTGTGTTGCTGTAAAATGAAAAATAAATATTTTGCTTAAGCAGGAAAGTGATAATTTTTTGCCACGGAAACAAAATAAATTTTTAAAATGAACTTAACTGTAGACAATGTCTATCTACTTTGCTTTTTAAAGTGTAGCATTAATGTCTCAGTACTTTCAGTTTACTGCACAACTACATATTTATTATTGACATTCCTTATGCATTTCTTGTTTTCAGTGGCTCCAAGCATTGACCGAAAAAATTTGAAAGATATGACAATTAAAGCAGGACTTCCAATCAAATTTGATGTCAGTGTCTCTGGTGAGCCACCTCCAACAGTTTCTTGGAACCTGAATGGTGATATTCTTAAACCTGATAATCATAGAGAAATTGAAAATGTAGACTACAATAGTAAGCTGACTGTTCGCCGTACTACTCGAGCTGACTGTGGAGAATACACAATTCTGGCTGTTAATAGTTCAGGAAAAGATTCTGCAGTTGTTAAGGTTACAATTGTTGGTAAGTATTAAGAACCCAGTAATATCTTATTCTTTAGAAATTAAATGTTTAATTCTATTTGGGGTAAAAAAAAAAATTAGACATTATGGTTTATTCATTGGAATTTTAATTTAATTTCTATTTCTTGTAGACAAACCAACTCCTCCTGAAGGACCTCTTGAAGTTTCTGATGTTCATAAAGAAGGCTGCAAGTTGAAGTGGAAACGACCTAAAGATGATGGTGGTGTGCCACTAGAAGGCTATGAAGTAGAGAAGATGGATTCTGACTCTGGTGTCTGGGTTCCTGTTGGAAAGACGAAGGAACCAGGTAACGAAACATGCCACATCATGTGGAATCTTTTACTCGAGAGATTAAAAATCTTTTTTGAACTTGTGTAACAGAATTTGGCTTAGTGACCTCATGAGACATTGAGATATTTTACAAATCATGTGTCTAAAAAGTTATCAAATAACTGTTAATTAAACAGTGGATATATTTAGGTCTGAAGTGCACTTTATACTAATACATAAAACTAGTTTCTTGAAAACTCCAGGAAGGTAGTATTGAAAATATTGTGTGATTATTTAAGCAATGCAATATTAATTTTCTTAATACAGATCTAGTTTTGTCCTGTCGGAGAAGCAGACACTTGATGACATATCAATACCACCACTATTGGACTTTGTTATTTTAGTGTCAGTGTCTAAAATTAACATTTTATTTGTATAACTTTTTTCTAAAACTGTGCATATATACAATCATTTTGTTGAACATTTTGAAATCATCATTAAAAGTACTTTAAAGTGTACAATTTTATTGGATAGTCAACATGGTTTCACTAAGGTTTTGTTTATTTGGATTTTCAGAAAGCATCTGACAAGGTGCCACATAAAAGGCTGGTAAAAATCTTATCTCTATAGGTGTGGGGGATAAGTTAGCAAATTGGGTAGAAGAGTGGTTGGATGGAAGAAAGCAGAGGGTTGTTATAAATAGACATCATTCAAACTGGATTAATGTTACAAGTGGGGTACCTCAGGACTCAGTCTTAGGACCTTTTGCTCTTTTCGATTTACATCAGTGATATAGCTGAAAGAATGGTCAATAAATTACTTAAATTTGCAGATGATATTAATGTCTTGGGTGTTGCTAATTAGTTGTGAAGAGGATACTGCTGCTTTACAAAAGGATTTAGATCATTTAGTGAGTTGTGTGAATAAATGGAAAATTGGTTTTAATTATAACAAGTGCAAGATAATGATGTGGGTTATCATGATTTGAATGGGAATAATTTTAACAGTGTCATGAAAGAAAGGGATCTTGATGTAATGATTGATCAGTCTCTTCCAAGCAGTGTGCTGTTGCTAGTGGTAGAGCAAATAGGTCTTTTGGTTGTATGTATAGAAATATTGAATACAAGTCTAAAGAGTTTATAATTTCCTTGTATAGGTCACTGGTTAGGCCACATTTGGAATATTGTGTTCAGTCTTGGGCTCCTTACCTTAGGAAGGAAAGGAATTAGAGGAAGGATAATAAGATTATTTCTGGGGTGGAAAGGTTAAGATCTCTCAAATTGTTTTCTCTTGAAAAAAGAAGAATTAGGGGGGGATCTGATTGAGGTGTTTAAGATTGTAAAGGGAACTGATAGTGTTGATGCATCATCGTTTTTATCATTCTTAATAGTGAGAATAGTAGGACTAGGGGACACAAATATAAATTTTGGCAGGATAAGAATCATCTTCAACTTTTTTTTTCTAACAAGGTAGTTTGCCTTTGGAATAGCTTACCTTTAAATGTTGTGGAGGCAGTAAATTTAAGTAAGTTTAAGGGAAGGCTTGATAAATATATGAATGAGAAGGGCTAGCTTTGATGTTTTTTAATAGTTTTATTTTAGTTTATTGGATGGAAAAGCCTAGCTGGACCAATAATTCCTTAAATAACTTTATTCAGTTATGTACCAGCTGCCCAGTGTCGGCTAACAATACGAAGAATTAAATTGCGGCCCTATTCTACAGTTCTTCAAATACCTATAGAATGATAGGTTTTTTTATGTGTGTAAAACACTTAAATACACCATTTCGATACCTCACTACTATAAAGGCTTCATTTGGTCTGAAGTTTCGTTGGTAGTGTCCAAGGTCACTGATGAGGAGTGGAATTCTATGAAACTAGTTTGGCTCACCCACCCAATGAAAGAATAGACCATTCCAAGCTTTTACTTGTTGTTAAACAAATGTTTAAACAACTCTATTCAATAAGTCCCTTGTTGTCCCTAAATATTATTGTATGTTATCTATGAGTTAGCTGGCAGTAAAGTCAGCAGGCTTCTAATTTGTTAATTCTACCTATTTTAGTTAAAACTGGTCATACCAAAGTTAATCAAGTTATTGTATTTTGTACTGTAGAATTACATGTTCTTATTGTTTACAAGTGGTATGCAAGTTAATCCATATTAATAATTAGCTATAGGAAAAACCTATGAATTTTCTGTACAGTTACTTTCAGGTCAGGAAAGATTACAGCAATGAGTGTTTATGCCTCGTAATTGTGTAATAAATTTGTTGTTGATATAATATGAACTTAATGATAATTTTTTATTGTTACTTTACTAAAATTTCTTTTCTTTATCTGAAACTACCTTGTTGAGATTCTAATTACTTTGTAAGTAACCATGTGATCACAATATTCTATATGGAATGAGGTTTTGCCAGATAATAACCACACAATAGGAAACATATCAAATTTGTATTGACAAGTTAAAATAGATTTTTAACTTTTAATTAAAAGATATTATCTAATACTGTAAGATAATAAGTCAGGCATAATATAACAAAAACCTTAACTTAAGACTTGCAATGTATTTATTTGTAAAATAAATGTATGACATACAGACACATACAATAAAACAAAATCATTAAGTTAAAGCCTTTGATTTAGTGCACATAACTTAAGACTTGCAATGTATTTATTTGTAAAATAAATGTATGACATACAGACACATACAATAAAACCAAATCATTAAATTAAAGATGAGATTATGTAGTGTCACTGCTTACATTTTAGGTATGGATGTAACGGGTCTTACACCAGGCAAGGACTACAAGTTCAGAGTTAGGGCTTTGAATAAAGAAGGTGAATCAGAGCCATTAGAAACAGAAAAAGCCATTACAGCAAAGAACCCGTATGGTATGTTTCATGAGGCGTCTGTGGTTGTGTTTTCATAAGTGTATCAGTTTTTTTTGTATTTATTAAAATCAGACAAAGAACAATTCTTTTTAATGTGATAACAGAGTACGTTTCAACATAGAGCAATTAAATTGTTTAATGACTCATTTACGCAATGTGGACAAACTAAGCTTATGATAAATATAGAATATTTAAAAATGTTAGCCATTCATTCAAAGAATACAACAAAATTAATATATTATTAATGGTTCAGTACATACAAGAATTTTATTTATTTCTACACATTATTCATGCATATATTAAATAAGATCGGTTGAATTGTTAAAAGACATTATTAAGAGAATATAGATATGAAATAATTAAATCTTTAAAAGTTATTTAAGCGAAAACATAATAATCCAAATGCTTAACAGTTTAATGACATACCCCAAGAATTAAAATATTTAACAACTTATGTAGGTAACACAGTGATATAAGTATTAGACATTTTATTTAGAAAAAGTAAAATTTATGTAATATTTATTCACTATTGTATTTTTTTTTATAAACGTTTCTTAGATGTTTTTGTATTATTTATTATTGTATTTTTAGTTTGGCTTTGTTGTTATTTTGACTTTTTTATTTTATTTTTGTTTTCTATGCATTAGAAAGTATAGATTTTCTTGAGTTGATTTTTTTAAATGTTCTGTTTTGGTACTTTGATAACATATTTGTATTTTTCTTTTATTTACAGATGAACCAAGTCAACCAGGAAAACCAGAAGTGACAGACTGGGACAAAGACCATGTAGATATTAAGTGGACACCACCTGAAAATGATGGAGGATCACCTATTACTGGCTATGTTGTAGAAAAGAAAGACAAGTTTGGTGACTGGGAGAAAGCACTGGAAGTTCCAGCAACTCAAACTAATGCCACTGTTCCAGATTTGATGCAAGGTCAACCATACGAGTTTCGTGTTCGTGCTGTTAATAAGGCTGGTCCAGGTGTACCTAGTGAAGCAAGTGCTCCTGTTGTTACAAAACCAAGACGATGTAAGTGATTTTCTTTTACTAAAACTTACATATCCCTTGCTCCTTTTTCACCAACTTGAAATAGAGTAATTCATCAGTTCTTAAGCTTTCATTTAATAATACATTTTTCATTAAAAAACAATAGATACTACATCCCCCCCTTTCTAAATGTATCTTTTATTAATCTTTAAATAATAATGAAAATCATGCTCTTTGTTTTTATAGTGCCACCCAAGATTGACCGAACTAGTCTTTACAAAGTTCGAATCAAAGCAGGACAGTCCTTCAATTTTGATGTGAATGTAGTCGGTGAGCCAGCACCAGAAGTGACTTGGAAACTACGAAACAGGAATGTGACATCCTCAGACCGTATCAAAGTGATAAATGAACCAAATAACACTAAACTCTCTGTACGTCAGGCTAGACGGGAAGACTGTGGAACTTACACTATCACTGCAGTCAATGAACATGGAAAAGATGAAGCTCAAGTAGAAGTAGTAGTCCTTGGTGAGTAATAGGAATATAAGTTTGTTTTGTAATTCATATATATATATATATATATATTATTTTTTTTTACCCTGGGTACATGTATGCCTTTCAAAAGGATATTTAATTATAGAATAAGCATTAGTCTTAATTATTAGAGCCATTTACTCTTTAAGTGGGGGATAAGTTAGCAGATTGGATAGAAGAATGGCTGGATGGAAGAAAGCAGAGGGTTGTTTCAAATGGAGTTCAGTCAAACTAGATTAATGTCAGAAGTGGGGTACCTCAGGGCTCAGTTTTAGGACCTTTTCTCTTTTTGATTTACATCAATGACATGGATGAAAGAATAGTCAATAAATTACTTAAATTTGCAGATGTTATTAAGGTCTTGGGTGTTGCTAGCTGTGAAAAGGATGCTGCTGATTTACAAGAGGATTTAGATCATTTAGTGAGTTGGGCAAATAAATGGTAGATGGGTTTTAATTATAATAAATGCAAGATAATGCATGTGGCTTATCATAATTTGAATTATAATTATAATTTGGATGGGAATAACCTTAACAGTTTCATGAAGGTAAGAGATCTTGGTGTAATAGTCGATCAGTCTCTAAAAGCTA